TTTAAACTATTGAACATTTCTGCATTTCCCTCCATGTGTTCCTGGCTCTTCTTCCTGCTAAAATAGGAATCTTGACCTCCACGTCCACCAGCCTGACCCTACTCAAACCTCGAGACCCCTTCCTCCAGGATGACCTATGGTTAGCCCTAGTGCATAGCAAGCTCTCCTCCCCTGAGCTTTGCTTGCTCTCACCTACAAAATCAGAATTAGTACTTCACTACAGATTAAGTGCAGCACTATGCGGTGTAGTCTCTCTTCTCTCTGTGTACATGTTTGTATAACAAACTGTTATTTGCTAATATGTTTATGTATGCATCTGGTTTCTCTGACTAGAACACTCTCTGAAAGCTCATTGTGTACAGAATTAATGCCTCATGTCCTATATTAATTTAGTACAGTGCTGGGCACCTCACTGGTTTCAAATAAGTCCTTACCAATTGACGGACCAATCAATTAACAAAATGGAAAATCCAGCCAGCAGGCTCAAGCTTTGTCTATCGGAAATTACTTTCCTGAAAAGCATTTTTCCTTCCTTTACAGATCAATTGCAAAGTCAAAATTCAAACACTGCAGGTTTCACAAACAGGAATAGCTGGCAAGTATTGGGCTTTACAAATAACGCATGCGCACACCAAAACAAAAGTTGTAGATGTTTGTGAAGGTATACGGATGCGGCGGAAATGAGCAGAGATGGCTGAGTACCCCTCCTCCCAGCCCCAGCAAAGGGTAAAGCCAACCCCAATAGAGCTCAGCATTATTGCGTGGCTTCCAAATCACAGGAATGTTCCTGGAATATCGTCTAGCTTCACCAATTGCAAAAACCCCCCATGTATTAATTTGGCAAATCCCCCTTGTTTGCTGTTCTTTCAGACCTTTACAGCCTCTATAAATGAAGACAATGAAGTCTGTTTCATTAGGAGATAAGCCTACACGTCGTACATCTCTGTAGTTAATACTGCAGTAAGAAGTGGAAAGAATAGCAATCTTTTTATATTGCCTGTTAGAAACCCTAATCTGGCTTTCTCTATATGAGGACAATACTGAAAATTGTACAGCTAGCCTATGCTAATCAATTATATTTATAAGTAAGTCATAGGTTTGATTCAACCTCTTTCGGATTAAGATCAAAATGGCAAATGTTCAAATCCCTTCTAGCATAAGGCACTAGAATATAATTCTTTTATAATATGAAATACATACATGCCATGTAGCATTATTTTTCTAGAATAATAATATTTGCTCTGATTCAGGGCTTCCTATGTGCCAGACGTTGTTTTTAGCACTTTAGATAGATCAAGCTATTCAATCTTCAGAAGGGCCCCATGTGGTAGGTATTATGTTCAGCTCTCCATTCTATTTATGAGGAAACTGAGGGGCAGAGAGTTTGAATAAGTTTCCCAAGGGCAAGTGGAGACTTCAGAGGAATAACGATTGCTGTGCATTAGTTGCTGAACCTAGGAAGAAGCAGATCTGGTATTTGAGACAGAACAGTCTGGTTCCAGAATTGGTGTCCATAAGCACTGCACTACATAACCTCTAAGGAGTTTGTAGGCTCTAAGTGAGGGATGTGTGTAAGGGTGGAAAGGTCACATGGCTTGCCTTCACGTAAGCCTGGTTTAACCTCAGCTCTGCAATTTACTAACTGTGTGGCCTTGGACAAATTATTTAACATCACTGAACCCTGTGTTTTTCAACCCCATAGTGAGGATGATACTGCTTATCTTGTAAATTGGTTGTATTTGCAAAGATCTATATAAATCACTTATCACAGTATATAGTATAAAGTAAGTATTCAATAATTTACTGTTATTATTATTCAAAAAGTAGCCCAAGATTTGATATTTTATAGTACCTGCATAATCCTCTATGCGTTCACAGGTAAGTTATTGAATAAACTTCAAATAAGCAAAAGTACATTGGGCCGGAATTCTTTAGGAAAAGACAATGATGTAGTTACATGTGCCCTAATGAATATTATTTCTACATTAATAGTACTCATTGAAATTATTAAAAGTTCTAATACTTAACCTGTTGATCAAAGGGGTTAAGTCTAAGGTAAGAGCTAATGTTATTCCATCTTTATATTATTGGTAAATTTATTTCATAATAGCCGAGTGAAAAAAAATCTAGCTCAATGAACTTTTAGTTGTATTGTCAGTAAAATGCACGACAATGCTGAGCAATATATGTAATTTTATTGGCTCGAAAGTTATGCATGTCTTTTCAAAACGCTATAAAAATTGATCTCACCCCCATTCCCTCAAGAAGTCAATAGCAATCTTTGAATTTCTTGTTTCTTTTCCCTCTTGTAATAACCTCACATCTAATGAAGATGAATTTCCAAAGATGAACCTCAGGGAGTTAATAATCTATCAAACACAACTATTTAAAAGAGAATACGAATCCTTAAGTAGAAATAATACCTGGCTTTGGGTTGCAAATATTACCAAAGCTGCGCAGAAGGAAATACTCAGCATTGAAAATTAAAGAACAAGACATTCTGGTCATTGCCTGCATCTCTGTAGCCCCCCTCCACAGTCCAGAATGACCCTTCTATGAAGGATCCCCTACGTTACCAGGAACAGGATCCTTTGTTTCTAAAGGTCAAAGCTGCTTTAATGCCATCACGTACCACAACCAAAGGTCCTGGGAGCCCTTTTCCAAGTTAGCACAGCTGTGCTCTTAAGTGTGCCAGAACGGGGCGATGAGGCATATTTTGAGGCAGCTGTGGTAAGCACAACTCCTCAGTTGTTAGGCATGATGGAGGCAGAGACCTGGATTTAAACCTTGGTCCTTTCTCACTTTTTGGCAGCCACAGGACCTTGATTTCTTTATCTTATTTGGAGGATTACGTGACTTGTAGATCTAAAATGTCTAGCGTACAGGATACAGTAGACAATAAATGGTAGATGTTGTTGAGTTGTTTTAATGTTTTAAAAATTTGACATGGGTTGTCATGTGTTGGGTATTTTGATCCATGTACCCTCAGGTAAGGGGAAATAAGTCAAATAGAACTACTGCATCTCATATTTTCAAATAAGTATCAGGGAACTAAAATGGTACTTCTGACAGCCTTCCAGACTATGGCAAAAGAGACCCATTGTGTATGGTTAGGTACACAGAGACACGGCATGAAAAAAAGAGGGGGAATCACAAAGGATCTCAAACTTAAACTCTGATTCTCTGCTCAAAGGAGATTATATACAGTCTCAGAGACAGGATTAAAAGAAGACATCATCACCCAGTTAAAATAAGTGTGTATTTTGTTTCATGTGACTATGCTTCTCAAAGGGCACTATGAATCGGTATTTTTCATAAATCATCTAAATCGCCAGCAAATAGCATTGTGATACTGCATTGTACTTTTGGTGTTAAAAGCATTATTTTTAAAAATGCAAACATTTATAAGACAGAAGAATTTGATAAACCTAGTTTGGCACGGCTTCCTCTGTTCATAGAGTAGGATTCTCAAATAACAAAGTGACTTAAGCCTCCCTTTACCTCGAAATAGTTCTGCCACGGTGTAAAGAAACCCACTGACTATCTGGTATAACCTAAAATATAGTTTTATTGTGATAGCAAATCCATATTTAATAGTAAGGATAAAGATAAAAACTCACCTTTATTGATCATGTACTAAGCGCTTTGAAAGTACTTCGAAAAGCAATGCCTCACTGAATGCTCTCAACCATTGTACGAGACAGGTACTGTTATTTATTTCATCTCGTACACGAGAAAAGAGAGGCTCAGAGAAGCTCAGTAACTTGCCCAGGTGGGTGGCGCAGTGCTTGAACCTGAGCAGTAAAGCTCTGGAGCCCACGCTCCTCCGCAGAACTCTCTAGGGTAGGGCACAGATTCATGACCCAGACTGCTTTCATTGGCCTTTCTTTTTCTTATTCTATTTACTATTCCAAATTAATTTTATGCTTCTAAACATAGGCTTCTGAAACCAACTTTTTATTTTGTGGATTTTTTTTTTTTTTTTTTTTAGTGTCCTTAAAAATAAACAGCTCTTTACTTTTGCTCAAAGTACATGTTTTCCTCACCTGCAGGGGCAGCTGTCCCGTTCCCCCACCATATAATAGCCCCTCGGTGCTCCCCCAGTTAACAGCAAATCCAGATGCCTTTTCACTCACTGCTCTCTCTTCAGGCCTATCCCAAGCATCTCCCCAATCGGACTGCAGCTGCCTCAGGTCAGGGCCTCCAGAAAGGTCCTCTGGTTTGTCAACCCCCTGGGCTTCTCCGCCTGGGCCTGCTGGAACCGACAGGCATCTGCACCCCCACTTATCCCAACTGCTGCGGTTACCAGGGGCCTCTTTTCAATGCAGACAGCCAGTCAGCCAAGTCGAAATTTATACCAGAAATCTATTACCTAATTTTTAAACAAAATGACATGAAATCAGACTTGAAGATATCAAAAACATGTCTAGTTTCTGATTTAAGCAAGAAAATCCACATTGTTATTGCTTCCACCACAGAATAATTTACTGCAACAGGAGTTCTGGATCTTAGGCCAAAAATGAGGTCCTCTAACCAATGTCAAGGCCAATTATCTTGTGGTAGATCCCACAACAAAAGCAGACTATTGTGATTAGAATCAGAAGCACCACCCAGAGAAGCTGGAAAGCTTCTGGGGATTTCTTAAGTTAGTTTTTATTCTTTCTCCCTGCATGTCTGCTTAAATAAACTACCAGCAACTTTGTGTGTGGGCACGGAACATCTTAGATTAGTCTGGGAGACTAGGAGAGGGCGACCAGGTTTGTTTTGAGCTGTTGAGCAGGAGCCAGGCTGCGAGACTCTGTGTGTGTGTGTGTGTGTGTGTGTGTGTGTGTGTGTGTGTGTGTGTGTGTAACACTGCAAAGATCACCACAGCCAAGCCCCTGGGTAGGTCTCGACCTCCTCCCTTCCCTGATCTCCTTCCCAACCACACTGCCAGTAGCCAGCCTGCGGTTTCCTACCCGGAAGGGAAAGCCCAGGTGGCCACGTTCGGGAACACTCACCCCACGGTAAAGAACTGCCTCATCTCCTGCCTCCGAGACCTCATCAGCTGCTTGTACTCCCCGATTCGGAGCTTTTTGCCATCAACAATGCAGGTGCGTTTCGGTCGAGGTTTGTATTTATAGTTCGGGTACTTCTCTAAGTGGATCTTGCTTAGCCGGGCCTGCTCTTCATAATAAGGTTGCTTCTCTTGGTTGGACATGGATTTCCAGCGAGACCCTAAACATAAAAATAGCCTTCAGTACCCGAGTGGTCAGGGCCCCATGTTGGTGGCGAATACCGTATACGCCTTCCCATGGCTTTGCTCACGGGCGCTCTGTGTAGCCCCTGCCATCACACACCACGGAGCCTCCCAAGTAGTCTTTCATAGACGCAAAAAGCAAAGGATAATTTCGCACGTGATACATTTATTACATTATTTCTGTCGATAACTTAAAGCTGGTGCTACAAAAGATGTATCATTTTAAAACACATCTCTGCTGCTTAAAGATCACCTCCTGTGCCAAGGTCCTTCCCCGGTTATCTATCTGTCTCTCTCTCTCAAGGGGTGAAAAACCTACACTTCCAATGGGGACTCTCAAGGCTGATGGGATTCTCAGGAAAAGCTCTCCTGGTTGCAGAGATTCAAACATCTCCCACCCTTGTCCAAGCAGCTTTAGGGAGGCTACTCTGTGATAAGATGTCAGTAGATGCGGCTATCCTTCCGTATATAAAAGACCCCTGTGCACACCGTCTCCCCTGGCCCCAGGGTAATTAAAAAGCCTAAACCCTACCTAAGAAGTTCTAGCTTTCGAGCCGGAAGCTACAGTTGGAATTATATACACCATTTTCAAGTACTATAAACGTTCATTTAAACCTGTACCAGTGACAGCACAAAAATTTTTAATGTGGTTTATAGAGGAAGGAGGAAAAGTATTCACTTCTCTAATATTGTTTATAAGGAATTATCTAAACACTTGACGAAGAAGGGATGTGTTTTTTTACATGTATCAAATTGCATTTTTGTGTCTCGCTGGTGAATAAAGCGGTAACAGCTGTGCTGACTGGATGTTAGCTATTCTTCAGTGGAGATTTTTCATACATAAACAAATGGAAAGTTGTGCAAATATTCTCTGTAGCCAGCAATATCCTGGTCTGCTTTAATAGCACATCCATCCCTGGTCTTTCCTGATTGTTGTGCAAAAGTTGTGTAGACAGTCTATGCAGATCGGCTTCTCTGGGTTCTGCTGACTCCCAGTAGCTTAAAGCCCCGTTTAACAGAGGATTCTTGGTGCTCTTGAAATACTTGTGCTTTAAAGTGTATATTTTCATGAATACACTTACTATATTCTTAATAAGTTTTTTCACAGAACACACACCAATAATATAGATTCCCCACAGCTGCCAAAATGGAAACAGAGAGGTTCTGTGCCCATCTGAGAGTCTACTCATGCTGCTATTAAAATGGCCAAAAAAAGGGGAAAAAAGAAAATTTCAAAGTTAAGTATCAAATTTCAAGGACAGAGGAACACTGATTTTCTTTTAAATGTCTATTAACTAGAATAAAAATTTAATATATCTATGAGGAGCTTTTTGGTTTGAAAGGTACTTAAGTTGAAAAGGAATAACACTATCCCAGAGCATATCTCAGAATCTCTAAAAATAACACCCCGTTTAATTGGGATGACATTTAGTATCCATCTTTAAATTCAAAAATCAAAAGGGAACAACTTATTTTTTCTTAACATTTCACCACCATTTGATCTTATGTATGTTTTAAATTTTCTTAGAGGTTACTGCTTCCCCATGTCTCAGAATCAAGTTAAATTATTTATACGGTGACAGAACATGTGTATTTGTGTATGTCCAGATCACCGATATTTACTAAGGTTAAATATTTATTGCTTTTGAACAAAACATTTAAAAAACGAAAACCACAGTTTAAGTCTCTAATGTTTTTCAGCTTTTTAAATGGCTTCTTTTGAGATTTTGTCACATCGTGACAGCTTAAATAGAACAGTGCCTTCTGTGTTTTTTCTTTTTACAGAGGAAACATGTTGACGGTAATGCTACATGTTGAATAAAATATGTTCAATATGTTGAACACAAGAATTCCAAACTGTATCATCTGCACCAGGCAAGCTTTACGCTCAGAAAATGAGGCTTTGGTTTAATCCCGAGAAGCAGGAGAATCACTCTGGCAACTGACCACAAAATGGGCCTCTACCCTGTGGTCTGTGTGTTCAAGTCTCTGCTCTAAAATCTGAACTAGTCATATCTTATTAAAGTATATGCAGTTTCATTCTATGAGTTTTAAAGTGATCATTCGAGGCCCTGTTCAACACTCCAGGAATTGCACACGATTTGCGGGCTCACCCCAGTTCCTGGTGAGAACCCAAGAACACTGAAGCAGAAAACTGTAGCATCTGTGCACCTTTCTGAGGTTACGTAGCAACTTAGGGATTGAAGAAGGCCGAATAAGAGAAGGAGATCGAGCTTGTCTCCATGGTTCTTGTTTAGCGGTGACCTCTCTGAGTTGCCAAATTCACAGTATATAACAGACTGTAAATAATTTTGTCTCTACAGTAAGTTTTTAGTCAGTCCTTCCCCAGCACCCGGGGACCTATAACCCTTAAACCTAAATGCCAGGCTGCGGGATGGGGGACCCAGAGATGATAACCAAGACTCCCGAGGCAGCCCGCTGAGCTACATCCAACGTCTGCAAACCACAGTCTCCCTCAGGGCTCAGGGGACGCCCCTGTTTACCACTCTCGGGGCTCAGGGGAAGGCGGGTAGAAGGTCAGCATTAGAGACTGCACTCACCTAAGATTTTGCTAATGTTGGAGTTATGCATGTCGGGGAAGGCCTGAAGGATTTTCCTCCTCTCATCCTTTGCCCAAACCATGAAAGCATTCATTGGTCGCTTGATGTGTGGCTCGCTGCTGGCCCTGCTGCGGGCATCCCTGTAGACTCGTGCTTCAGCCACAGTGGCGCCTCCTGTTGGCCAACAATAATACTGCTGTAGTTTAGCTGCAGAGCCATTCATTGCTTTGCTTCCTGTAATGTCAGGGCAGGAAGAACAAGACAGGTGCAAAGCATTATTATTTGAGTAACGTAACACAGCTTGTGCCTGCTTCGGCCAGTTTCCCTAGGCCCTTCTCTGCTCTTTAAGTGACCTCTTGGGAGAAGATGGTTTCAAATGACGATTCTACAGGCCCTTCTGATGGAGGCTTCAAAGACACACAGGGAAGAATTAATTCTGCATGTTTTATACATCTTGTACATTCTTGCTACGGTCAGTTGCGGGGGTTGGTTTGGCATCGACTGGCATTATTTTATTAACCTTTCCTGCTGCGAGTCCTCCCTTCAAAAGCAGGCTCCCACCTATCATTTTAGCCTCATTTGCCAAAAATTGCCACACTTCAGACTATCTCTTTACCTCAAATAGAATTCTTTCACGCAATACTACGCCTTGTCCCTTGCTCCTCTCGGTGCCCAGAAGCCCCTTCTCCTCATTCTTCATGAAATGCCAACAAGTCCCACTCATCCTTCAAGGCCTGTTCCAAATGTGGTGTGTTTCACGAATTAATTAATTCGATACAAAATATTAACTGAGCAATTACTATGAGTTAGGCATTATGCCAGGGCTTAGGGAGGCAAAGGCAAATAAAACAGACTCTGCTTTTAGGGAGCACACAGAACAGAGGGGCTACAGACCCCAGGCAATTATCACAGAGTGTACGATCAGTGCTACAATATTGAAGTGAACAGGGTGCCAAGAGGGCATCAGACAAGAGAGTCAGCATAGGCGATATCTAAGCTGTGTTGTGGAGGATGAATAAAGATCAGCACGTGAATAGAGGAGGGCTGTAAAGACAGATGGGAAGGGTAATTCAGGCCATAGGAACAGCATTTGCAATGATGTTCCCCGGGCTACATTCATTCCTCTTTCTTTTATGCTACATGCTCCAAAGTAATTACTTGTTTATGGGTCTATCTCTCTCTGATCTTTCCACTCCATCCTCAGGAATATGAAACCCCTAAAGTTGGTGTTTATGTTGTACTCATTCTTGTATCCCCAGGATTTCCCATGTAATAGATATTCAATAAATATTTATTAAGTAAAAGATTGGTTTTCAACTTCTATGCAAACTAGTAGACTAAAAGGCATTTATTTCAAGGGTCCTGATATGTTTTTCTGCTGTTTAAGAGTCGTTCTTTAATGTTTCCCTATGTAACTATACCTAAATCTCTGACATTTTATCATTTCCGAAGAGGTGACTCCGGCTATTAACATACTAGATTGAAATCCCTTTGAGAATATGGCAAGAACTGGCTCTCATTCACTGCTGTATCCCTACGTTCTAGTAAAGCACTTGGCATATAGAGTTTTAATTATAAACTATGTTAAATTAGTGAATGATGGGACAGATGAATGAATAAATGAAACATTTTCAGGGACCCTACTAGCGTGACACACGAAGTATGCTTTGCAATGTGGCATCTACTAAATAACCCCCCCTCCCCCACCGATAGATTGAGAAACTTCTATAGCTAAACGTAAAGTGGTTGGACTGATGGCGTCAGCCAGGATTGCTGCTGCATAAACAGGAAAGCCTACTCCCAAAAGTTTAGAAGCAAAATATACATTAAAACCAACATTTCCACTTTCTGGAAAAAGTAAAGCCTTTCAGCTCAGTGGAGTGATTATACAGGAACAACATGACCCAATCAATCTCTGGCCCTTCTACTCTATTTCTAGATACCTTGATTAAGTAGAAATTTGTTTGTGTCAGAGCTAGTAATAAATTAGAACATTAAAGTGCACTATTATTTGACAAATATGATCATCATTTATAGCAAACAAAAGACACTATAAAAGGGCCCAACTGGCTAATATTATCAATTCTTTTCTAAACATGAAAGAGGGCAGAGGGGCCACTATTTGGAAACCATGCAAAAATAATATATTTTATAAACATCCCTTCTTTTAGGCCTACTAGACAGAATGATCCCTTACATGAAAAGTCTCAGACCCCGAGATGCATAACTAATCTGCTACCTTTTTGCCACCATACCCACAGTACATTAATTTCATTTAAAATGCACTGACCATACAGGATAAATTGATTTCACTTTATATGGGTTTGACAGCCATGTTTATTGTGCAGTGAAATGTAGTGTAGCTTCCAGCTGACAATATCCATCAACACAGGGCAATATGCTGACTGCTGGGCCAGATGAAGGCATACATTACTCTGGAAGTGAAACACTCATTCAGATACGACAGTGTCTTCTCCTGAGGATCACCACGGTAATTTATGATGCCCTCAGTGCCATTACTTTACAACTGACATGGATTCAGCAATTTATATACTTGCATGCATACACATAAAAGGAGACAGGCTTGTGGAGAATGTCAGATGCAAAAACATTTCAATATTATTCTAAGTTAACTACTATGCCACAGGTGATTAACATTTGAGATCTGCTTTTACTGTCCTAGCTTTCTCTCCACCTCCAGCAAAACCAAATAGTTGACTTCTATTTATTTATTCATTTAAAAGATGTATTTCATTGTGATGCGAAGTTTTACTCTTCTATGGACTGATAGAAATCATGGTGGATTTTTAGCCCCTAATTTTAGACCCTGATTCTCCCAGACATGTCTTACATAGGTTCTATCTCTCTCTCTCATTCATACCTCAGTCTTAATATATCCTCCCTACTATCTTCTATCCCACTAAATTCTACCCTTTCCAAGGGACAGACTCAGGTCTCACCCCACCAAGTACCCTATATTGGCCTTGCCCCTTTCTCCCATAGTACATATGGTCTATGTGACAGACAGTGAATTAATTACATAGGACTCACAACAAATGTTCCCATAAATTTAGAAATTCAAGCACAATACAAAGTGTAAAAATGTGAATTAGGAAATGGAAAATAGAAACATTCCAAGTGCATTTTTTTTTTTTTTTTTTTTTTTTTTTTTTTTTTTGCCTCCTCTCCTCTCTTCCAAAGAAAGTCAGGTGGAAAATGAATGGGGACATCCTGACCTAAACTAGGACTGTATCAGCAAACCAAGAGTTGAGGAGAGGCTTATTCAGGGAGGCCAAGGTTTGAAACCACTGATCAGAGTCAGAATTTTAAGGACATATTGAAGGCACTAAACCAAAAGAATATTTAGAAAGTGTTCCTTAGCTTCCCTAAACTTTGCTTCATGAAACAAAATGGTTAAGGAATTATTGTTGCAGCAGCAGAAATACATATGACTGGATAGGTGTGTATAAATTCAGAAGTTTTAAAATGAAGATTGTATATTATGTAAGCCTTTTTAAACACCTAAGGAAAATTCTATAGAATAACACAGAATTGTTTTCAAAAGGTGTGCTATTAGTCTGAATAGTTGAAGCCTAAAATCCACCTTCTGTTATAATTAAAATCTACATCTCTAGTGTGACTTCATCCTGCTTCATTCGTTTTTAAAATAACACCAAGTTAAAAAAAAAAAAGTACTTTATTCTAAAATAGCCAATGCTCTGTGTCAGAATCCAGAATTGTCCTAGGGAATGTCTCCCAATTCTATGAAGCAACCTCTTTTACTTTTAAGAGCAGAGGACTCATCTGTGAGTTCATTATTCACAATATAGTTCCTCACAGAAAGCAGTTTGAAGGACCTTAGACCCAAAGCTTTGTACCTAAAAACTACTGCTTTCAGACTGACCTAAGAGTCTTTCGTTACAAGCGGTAGTAATCCTAAATGACAGTTACTGGAAGGCCAGGAGGCCAACACCACCACACTAGGCACCATGGGAAAGCAGTATTCCCTGCACTCCAGGAATTCCTGCTCCCTTCAGCTTTGCCAGGGGGCTTGGTTTGATTAATTCATCCTTTGTCTCCCCATATCATAGTCTGGGTAAAGGCAAACTTTCAGTTAGACAAAGAAAGATAGTCCATGGGGAGAAAATAGAAATTGCCAAGGCAAAGACTTCCTTAGAAATCTGTGATTTAAATGATTTAAAGAGAAGACAGAAAGTTGAGTTTTTCCAGGTGGGTTGGAAAGAAGGCCAGTGTAACCATCATGGACTATGGCAATGATCCTGAACTAATCCTAGAGAGGCCCCCTTCCTGGGTAAATTCCAAGGGTTATGTTAGTGAATGAGTAAGTGTTTGGTATGTGTATATATATATAAAGTTCTCCCTAAGGAAGAAATTTGGCTAATTCTATAATGTGCCTAGTAATCACTTATTTATGCACTAATTCAGCAAACACTTCTGACACATTTCAGATAGACCCAAACTTGTGATTGGGTATACAAAGAATGATAACACATGTGCCTTTTTTTAAAAGAGGGATTTGGTTTAGTGAGGGAAATGGACTCATAAATAGAAAATTACAAAACAATGTAAGTGCCCACAAAGGTAATTTTAAAATACTATGAAAGCAGAGAAGAGAAGCTATTGATGTTGGAATGAACAGAGATGACTATCAAGGAAGCTTCAGAGATGCATTGGTACTTGAGCAGCATCTTAAAGGAAGAAGAAAAATATACCGGCAGGTATGAATTTTAAAGTATTCTAGGCTGGAGAATTAGTGTGAACAAAGGTACAGAGTTATAACAAAAGATTGATAGGATTTTAGGGTATAAAAAGAAGCTGGCTATGCTTGGGCTTATAGAAAAAAATAGAGGAGTGCTAAGAGATGAAATTAGAAATGTAAGTAGGGGACAGATTGCTAAGTACCTTGAATGCCAAGCCAAGAAGTCTTTAAAGTTTTTTTTTTTTTTTTTTTAATTTTTTTTTTTTTTTTAAGATTTTATTTATTTATTTGTCAGAGAGAGAGAGGGAGAGAGAGCGAGCACAGGCAGACAGAATGGCAGGCAGAGGCAGAGGGAGAAGCAGGCTCCCCGCAGAGCAAGGAGCCCGATGCGGGACTCGATCCCAGGACGCCGGGATCATGACCTGAGCCGAAGGCAGCTGCTTAACCAACTGAGCCACCCAGGCGTCCCGTCTTTAAAGTTTTTAAGCAGGTTAGTGACTTGAACAAATATATT